TTGAGATACAATAACCTCTTTTTCAAGGAAAGCCTGGCCAAGAGAAAGCCTGAGAAACACTAAAGTTACAACTAGTGATGCACGATATTAAAAATGTATGGCTGATACCGATATTAAGATTTCTGGTATCGCCGATAACTGATATTACCAATGTTGATATTCAATTTTTGTTCACACCGAAAAATGAGTATAAGTAAGCACTGTGAGGATGTGTAAACTATTCAAAAGAAGCCCAAACCAAATTAGACCACATAGTCTTCTTTATTACGTAACAAAAGTGAGACATATTTTAACATATTTAATGTTCAAGTCCAGAACCATTTAAATAAAAACATCCGTCAAATAGCAGCAAAATCAAATGTAGAGACGAAGGCACTAATGGTAGACAATCATCGGTTTTTCACATCGGCTAAATTTGTTAATCGGACCGATACCGATATATGGGAAAAAACACTAATATTGGCCGATACCGATGTGGTCACCTATATATCGTGCATTCCTAGTTACAACAATTAAAAACAAATAATGAATTAAGAATTTACATTGAAACAACAAACGCAATATGTAGTTGCTACAAAAGCAACTACATATTGTGAGCCACAGCAATATATAACTTTATCATCAGCATAAAAATGAGATTTGGCATTAGGGACGTTTCTGTCCAATGTGTCTACATAAATAACAAATGGAAGTGGCCCCAGAACTGAGCCCTGGGGCATGCCAGTAGAAACATTTAGCAGTGTGGATGAGTTGCCTTCAAAATAAACACATCGCTTTCTGTCAGTCAGATAATTATCAAACCAGCCAACAGCCTGTTCAGACAAACCCATATAAAGCAATCATTGCGTCAAGATGGAGTGGTCCACTGTGTCAAAGGCCTTAGAAAGGTCAACAAAGAGGGCTGTACATTTTTTTTATGATCCAGTGACTCTATTATATCATTGGTGAATATATGTCTCATATGTTATATGAGTAGGGGCCTTAACCTAAATCTAAAGCACAATAACAAAAAACTACTGTGCTAACTGTTTACCAAGTACTCACAAGAAGATAAAGATGTGTGAGGTTTGGACCTACCACCTTGTTAACATAGAGACACAAATATATAAAGAAATAAAGAAATGTTGAAATACAGA